TATATAAAATACATAAAAATATGGGCGAAGTATCGATTCCGTTTCAAGGTACTGGCTGGAGAACGGGACTCCGGGTTCCAAGATCGTTGTTGGGATTCCAACGTACGCCCGTACGTGGAAGCTGACGTCGGACAGTCAAATATCAGGGGTGCCACCTATAGTGACCGACGGGCCGGGGGCCGAGGGGCCGCACACCAACACGCCAGGGCTTCTTTCGTACGCAGAAGTTTGCTCGAGGCTGACCGAATCTGCCGTGGGTCGTTTGAGGCGCGTCGGTGATCCGTCGAAGAAGTATGGCAGTTACGCTTACCAACCTTACAACGAGAACACAGGGGCGGATGGAATTTGGGTCGGTTACGAGGATCCCGACACGGCTGGGAACAAGGCAGCCTACGCCAAGGCGAAAGGTTTGGGCGGAGTGGCCATCTACGACTTGTCGTTGGACGATTTCCGCGGTGTCTGCACAGGGGACAAGTATCCTATAATAAGGGCCGCTAAGTTCAAGCTGTAAAAAAGTTATTAGAGAGACAATATATATATATATATATAAATGAAAATGTGGCCAATTTGCATAAAGTTTGGAAGTTATTTTGAAAAATATTTTGTATTATATTTTTTTTGTTTTTTTGTTTTACGTTAAGATTTTCCCAGTTGGTCCAATTTGAGTATTTTGCATTTTGCTTTTTACTTTTTATATTTTCAGACATTATTTTATAAGTCGTTCATCAATTGTACGTTATCGTTTAAGATATTTTATTCATGTTTTACGAGACGAGAAATGATTTGAAAAAAAAAAAAAAAGAGTGTTGTATTCGAAATTATGTATATGAGAATAAAGAATGATATAATGAAAATAATCTTCGGGATTATCTTGTGTGTTTCGTCAAATTTTTTCCGCCATATTTGATCGGTAGATAAGGTAGTGATCTAGGGTAGATAGATTAATGCATGTGTACATAGATATAATATATGTATATATATATATTTTTTTTTCTTCGTGCAGTCTATGAATTCGGATAAACACATTTGCTCGGGTGTGTATGAAAGGTTTCATTGTAAATGGACTAGATTCGTTAAATATATCAAACATTAGGAGTTATGGCACACGAGATACAACTAATCCATAGCCACTCTCATACGTAGTAGAAACATATAACGTTCCTAAAATTTCGTGGTTACATTCATGGTTCTGCTTTCACTTTGTTCGAACATATAAATCATTCTCGAAACTTTCTTCGAAAGAACATTTTTTTTACCAAACACTCGTGCACAAACGTTGGTACAGTGAACGGTATAGACATCTTTGTTCCATTTGGTTCCTGTGTTCCAATCCGTCGTTCCATTAAATCGAATTAATATAATAATAAGAAGAAAACAAAATTTTTCTTCTAAATTTTAAATAATATATTTTTTAATTAACTAGATCAAATAAATATGTATATACGTATATTTTTTTTTTAATAAAATGTTTATGAAATTTAATAACATTTTTATATAACAATTATAGTTTATTTTCTTTGTGATAAAAAAATTCATAGAGCTTCGTTTTAGTAGAACGACGAATCAGAAACAGTTTCAGCAACACGAACACATCCTGCATAACCATAATACTTAGAAAATACTAGGCGTGGTAGTTGGGATAGCTTACACTCTATGGTACAGTTAATAATTCGTAATATACTCTTTAACAGGGGTAGGGCACTCGTTACGTTACGTTTAATATAATGAAATATAATGAAATATATGTAGCCTTACAACGTACAATAACACAACTTTTATTATCCCTGATACTTAACCCTAATTCTATTATGATCTCGGTCCTCGATGAAATTTTTAACGAACTCGTGCTCGTTCGTAAATTTTTAACAATTTCTTTTTCGAAAATTAAAATCGAAATATGTAAAAATGTCCCTAAAAAATTACAAAACGGATTATTACATTTAAATATTTTAAACAGTGCTACGAATCTTGCAAAATTTTTTTTTCTAAATTTTCATTATTTCAAAATTTCAAGAAAAGAAGGAGAAGAAGAAGAAGAAGAAAAAAAAGAATTTCTTTGAATTTTTTTTACGAACGAGCTCGTTACGATCGAGGAGGATTCTCTCTAACTAGGAACAGGACACACTCGACGACGTTACGTTACTGAAAGCATATCTGTGACTAGATCAGCTCATCATGAAAATCGACTGAAGTATTGGATAGTGAAAAAATAAGTATACGCGGAGCTCTCTTGTTGTGACTCTTTTCTACGCGTGACGAAACGCTCTCTCTCTCTCTCTCTCTCTCTTGAATAATTTTGGTGCTTTGACATACTTCGAAATTATTATAGATATCCTTTAAAAATGCAACTTTTGTATCCATGTTTTGTGTGTATCGTTAAGAATATAACTCTGAGAAACACACGAAAAATAGTCACTCGTTACACTTTTCTCATTACAATAGAATAATATATTTTGCTGATTTCTATTTTCAACTAATCGACAATGATCTAACGAATGAATAAACAATTTTCTGAATTTCTCTTTTCTCTTTCTCTCTCTTTTTTTTTTTTTTACCAGCAATTATACTTTTAATCTATCCTTTTTTTTTTTTTTTTTTTTAAACATTTTCTCTATTTCTCCGTTATACAATAGAATGAAAATCTTCAACGTTCATATATATATATTATTCTCTCAGACTCAACGAAGATTGGTGTACAAGCGTTTTTGGAAATACGCGACAAATTGATGGCGCCACTGTTCCTTTAACGCTTCACGTATTTTTACGTTTCTCCTTTTTTTACTTAATTCCTATTTCTATTTGCATCGATATATTATTATTATTATTATTATTATTATTATTATTATTATTACTATTATTATTAACTTTCGCTAATGCTACGTCACGCATCTTCAGAAACGTCCTGTACACATTAAATGCAATATCAAGTAAATGCAGATCACGGTAATTGGTCAACGCTCGAGATAAAATGTCGGCATCCATTATAAATGCAATGGCGATAACGTTTCATTCCAATAATTTATATTCTCTTCTTCAAAACTTCGATAAATTTTAATTCGAATTAAAACACAACGAAACGATTGTTAAACATTCGTGTCGTC